TCATTAAAAAATCTATAAGAATTAAAAACAAGATGGAGGTTATTAACCACATAATTATTATGTCTTTTCAACCACTTAAGTTATATATTTACGTTTTTTAATAAATATTTAATTCAAGTTATGCAACTGTTGATCATCATTATAAATGATGACCTGAGTATATATATAGAGGTAGTGATCTGCCGCAAGATGAATGAACGGACAAAACTCGATGCAAAAATAACGAAAGACAAACTCTTCATTAAAAACGTAATTGGAAATTAAAATAAAACATATTTTTTAGAAATAGGAAAATGTGGGAGAAATTGAAAATTGACTATGTTTCTTATTAAGATGAATTTGAAGTAGGATGTTAAAAGTTAAAATAACGAAACTAAAAACTACGTACATTGTCGACAAAAGGGACAATCACTTTACTAAGGAAGAATGCAGTCAAGAATTCACCACCACCACGTCTTGATCCTGTCTTGAGTTGAAACGGATCTGTCTAAAACTACTTTCACATACTACATCCTCTGTGTAAAACTACTCTCAATCACATTTTACATCCTCTCTGTAAAACTACTCTCAAATTCTACATCCTCTCTGTAAAACTACTCTCACATTTTACATCCTCTCTGTAAAACTACACTCACATTTTACATCCTCTCTGTAAAACTACTCTCACATTCTACATCCTCTCTGTAAAACTACTCTCAATCACATTTTACATCCTCTCTGTAAAACTACTCTCAATCACATTCTACATTCTCTCTGTAAAACTACTCTCAATCACATTTTACATCCTTTCTGTAAAACAATCTCACATTCTACATCCTCTCTGTAAAACTACTCTCAATCACATTCTACATCCTCTCTGTAAAACTACTCTTACATTCTACATCCTCTCTGTAAAACTACTCTCACATTTTACATCCGCTCTGTAAAACTACTCTCAATCACATTCTACATCCTCTCTGTAAAACACTCTCACATTCTACATCCTCTCTGTAAAACTACTCTCAATCACATTCTACATCCTCTCTGTAAAACTACTCTCACATTCTACATGCTTTCGGTACTTGACGGATCACAAGTATTTGGAAGCATCTCTGCTCCTTGTGACAGTCGCAAAATAACCTCACCCTCAGGCTGATGCTGGATACAGTAAAACCATCTCATGAAACAGCAGATAACAGACTCATGTCATATAAACTGACAGTGTGGCTATATAACCATGTGGCCTTGTCTAAATCTACCGTATAATATGTGTTTGCTGTATCTAAGATCTAAACTGTAGAGAATGCATGCACACCACCATGTAAAACGCAATCTTTCCATAAAACTAAATTTAACTCGAATTTTTCCTTGTACATTTCATATGTGATGCAACATTTTCATTTACTTTGGCCACAAGGAAGGTATGTGACATCAATCCAAAGACTGCTATCGCAAAGCTTACATATTATATTTTCCCACATCAAAAAACATGCTTAATATCGTGTATAATATATACACACAAGGATTCTTTTCTGCGTGTCTATTTTCGTAGGTTTACATAGTTAACTGTCAGAATTTCATAGTATATCATCATTCAGCGTTCTAGAAGATAAACTTGGAGTTGTGAGTGAGTTTCAATATTCAAAGACTGAATTTCAGCTTTAAAACTCTAAAAAACGCACACATCTGAAATGTATTAGCTTCATAGTCAATAGAATAATCGAAAGGAGAGAACTGTAGATAAAACAACTGCTTTTTGTGGGATATTTGTCAGTACAAAGAAAATATAACCTAATACTAGGAATATTTATCTGATATTTTCATTAAAAGCAAACGTAAACAGTTAGATCAAACTATAATGTGTTACAGAGGCACACAATCCGTGTTACAATATATTAAATTAAATAATACAAACACAGTTTTTCCGTTAGTATTCACTTTTCATATGATGCCACGTTTTATTTTTATTTTCAGTATACAATGAACCTTTGTAAAACTTAATTGGGATTATTTTGAGTTTCGGTTTTATTTTTAAATGTTTGTCACACACGTTTCATGTCCACTATACTTTATTTTTCTACTTTTTATTCTGAAGTTCTGTTTTTTCTCTTATTTTGATTGGTTTAAATTGAGCATTTTTCGTAACTAGTGGTTTTTACTTGTTCAGTGCTCTACTTAAAAGTTCTATCGATTAGCACCCGCTAGCTCAGCAGTAAGTCTGAATGCTTATAACGCTATAAACCGGCTTTCGATACCCGGGGTGAGCACAGTACAGAAAGTACATCGTGTAGCTATGTGCTTAACAACAAACACTTAAAACAAACAAAGATCTATTGATCAGTTGATTTAATCTAATACTTCCATAGTAGTGACTTCCAATGATAAAAGCGATTGATTCGGACGCAACTGAAAATTATTCTCAAAGCAATTCAAGCTGTATGCAATAGTTTACAACTGTTTTATTTTTAAGCAATAGCTCTCACACCCCCAAATTTTTTTCACAAGACGCATTAGTTATTCTGTTTTTGTCAGACAATATTCTTTCCATCATTTCCTTAATTATTATTCTGACTAATTATAAAATTCTGGTATATTTGATTAATCCTTACCAAACCATCTTGGTTGGACATTACTGGCTCAATAGCAGACGTTTTATGTTCTCTATAATGTGGAGCCTGAGTAGCCGTAGAATAAATAAAAAAACTCACAAATATGTTACCCTGTCCAGTATAAAAATTTTCATAGCTTTAAACCAAAGTATATTTAATTATTATCAGAATAATTAATAAGAATAGAGTAAGATATCTAGTTATTAGTTCCATAGTAGTTATTTTGATTCATCAACGTTCCAAAAGAAAATTCATCTTTCTAATGAAGTAGATACCTGTAATATATCTATACAGGTTGTGTAAATACGTTAAACACGTCTTGAAACGTAGTGACTTCTAAAATAAGACGGATAAAACCGGTATAGATGTCAGTCCGAAAAACCCTCACTCTGTATTCAGACTAGCCATTTTTGGCTTAAGCCAAGATCCAAGATTTTGTCAACAGATAATACCAAGATGCTTACTGCTTATCAAAAAGCACAAATCATTCCAGTAAGACTCTGCATTTTTCACTTTGTGTTCATTGTTAACTGGATAAATGCCCTTGAACGCAACCTGAATTAAGTCATTGTTAACTGGATAAATGCCCTTGAACGCAACCTGAATTAAGATAAAGTTGCAAGTACAATCGGAAATAAACTATAAGTAGCAGAAAAGAACACCAGTAATAGAAAAAAAAACAAAATTAATATTACAGAAACCAATCACATCATTCTAATAAAAAGAAAAAAAAGGCAAAACCGAGGATTCGTGTGGGTAGGAAAAAAAATGTTATATATAATTAGTACTTGACCAAAATGAGAGCTATTAAGGAACACAGCACAATTTATACAAAAACATCGTTAATAGTTAGTGAATAAATACAACTGTTTATTTGCTCTAAGATCCAACAAAAACCTTAACCCACAACGTTTCAATAAATAAAAAATAACGGTTTGTATACAAAAATAATTTCTTGTCAGTTCTGCTCAATCTGTCCATCTAAATAGAATTTTGGAAAATAAAATTAACTGATCAACGCCCCTCTCCCCTCGCAATTGTTACATATGCTTGTGTTTACAGATTGTATGTGTGTGTGTGTGAATTTTGAAAAAAAATTTTTATAACAATTTTCTTTGGGAAATCAGGGATCCTTAAAAAAGGAAGGTGATCTTTGTTTCCATTAGAACATTTGAACGTTGGACAAAGCAAATGAAAGTATTTGATACTTAATTTTACTTCACCACAGAGCCGTGTAATTTGTATGTTTTTTTTTTAAGTTGATGCTTAAAAATGGGAAAGTCAGCGCAGAACAAACAAAGCTTTTCTTTTCAACGTTATGGTGGTTTACCAGCATCTTAAAGAAGCAACATAAATGAATATCATAAATATTAGACGAATCTTAAAAAAGTACGAAAACTCAAAGTAATATTTCAATATTTAGTTGCATAATGTTGTATTTAACAGTCATTATAAATTAAAGTTAATGATACATAGTAAGTACTTTTTTATTTCTTTGTAGGTTAAATATCATTCTGACAACTCAACTATATTTCTTTAACTTTTTTGGTCTGTTAAGTCAAAAACATTAATTGATCTCCGGTTATATCCAAATTTTGTTTTCGTGTGTCCACTTGTAGGACAGCGTTATGTTTACAGGCTTACAACGCTAAAATATGGGTTCCGATTCCCTGCGGTGGACACAGCAGATAGCCCAATGTGATTTTGCTTAAATAACAAGCTTTTTTCGTATAGAGGTGAAAATAAAGTTATATGCTATAGCGGCGCCATCTGTACAGGTTAAATGAAATCACTCGAATTTTAAGATAATATTTGCAACGGCAACAAATAAATACAAAGAAAAAACACAGAAGCAAAGTAAAGTAACACATGTGTGCGTTGATTCTCCATTACCCAACAATTAGGTGTAATTAAACAAAAACAGATACATACCTGCTTTTTTTTCATTAATTTACTGGAATTATTATGCAAACAGACATACAAAATAGAGTAAATACCGACGTACTAATTAAAATGAAACTTCGACTCTTTCAAAATGGTGTCACCAAATCATTTTTTGTCGTGATTATTTAAAAGTAGTTTACAGCATGACCTCAAACATGTTTCGTATGATTTTTTAAAAATATAAAGTGAAGATTTTATTTAAAAACTAACAATAGCATAACATAGGAACTTTGTTCTGAAAAGACATGGACTTTTCGTCCATTTAATGAACATAAACAGAGAAGAAAAAGTTCCCACACTAAAATTAAACTTAACGAGCAGAACAGGCAAGAATTTGCACTAATCTAGAAGAATAACATACTCTTCCCATAAATAAAAATTGTCAATACACTAAACTTTCCACAACACTTTCTTTGTTTAATTACCAGTAATTTTAGCTGACGCTAAAAATTCAACTCTACACTCACATTAGTTCAAAACAGTTTATTTTCAAAATGGATAGTGGTCTAGCAAATGTACAAGTATGAAAAATAGACAACCATCTATTTCTAATTATTGGCAAATACTGATAACTAAAATATACTATATGCATCCATCAGTCATAATGTTTATTCTTAATTCGGAATTCACAACTGTGTTATAAGCTCTTATATGAAACTGTTAACTCTTGACTGTAGTGGTTGCGGTATTGTAGTATTAAGTTGGAGTGTAAAAAGGTGAGGTTAACTGACCAAGACGAGGTTATTAACTAACTCGATGCGAGTTTATATTTGACGTTATGTAAATTAACAGCGTTTAGATTATGATTCAATGATAATAGCTATCTGGCTAAAACTAATAATGATACGACTGTTATTTGAGGTATTCTAACTCAAAATAGTTACACTGTTGCAAGGGAAGTCGTAATGGTACAATGGAGTGAAATAAGAGTAGTCTATTTAATTGAAAACAAATAATGCAATTCAGTGTGAAGATGTAATTACGTAAAACTGAATTTATTAGACACATAATAACGTTACATTTATGGAGTGCTGAAGTTAAATAGCTCAAGGTGTTGATGTGTTTATGTAAAATGATATGCTATCCCATGATTAAACTATATTTGTCGATTGCTTCAATATGATGTTATAATTGTGTACTGTTGGCATTACAGATTCAAGGTAAGGTTATTCTTATACGGTGTCGAAGTGAATTAGCTCAAGATGAGCTAGAGTTATGCATCAGTAAGACTGCTGCTGTATACATTTTATATTGTGAGGATATCAAATGTTGTAGGTTTACTGTGCACTGTCCTACTTCAAACTGAGGTCAGGCTGTAGCCTCATAGTATGAAGTGTTTGAGGGTGGGTAGGGCTGTAACCTCGCAGTATGAAATGTTTCAAGCTTGGGTCAGGCTGCAACCTCACAGTATGAAGTGTTTCAGGGTGGGTAGGGCTGTAACCTCGCAGTATGAAATGTTTCAAGCTTGGGTCAGGCTGCAACCTCACAGTATGAAGTGTTTCAGGGTGGGTAGGGCTGTAACCTCGCAGTATGAAATGTTTCAAGCTTGGGTCAGGCTGTAGCCTTACAGTATGAAGTGTTTCAGGGTGGGTAGGGCTGTAACCTCGCAGTATGAAATGTTTCAAGCTTGGGTCAGGCTGCAACCTCACAGTATGAAGTGTTTCAGGGTGAGTCATGCTGTAACCTTGCAGTATAAAGTGTTTCAGGGTGGGTCAGACTATAACTTTACAGTATGCAGTGTCGAACTTGTATTGACGTTATGATTGTGTAATATATATTTACCTGTATTATCTATTTAATATTTGGCGCTCAGGATTGTATTAACACTTTAAACGAATATAATTTCGAACAATATTAAAAATAAAAATTGACATATTCTTACATAACTGAATGTATTATTGACATTGTAAAAAACAAGACCACAGATACCAAGCATATATATACATACAGATAAATAAAATACTGAAAATACAAAAGCTGGTGTTAAATACAATGTCACTTATATGCTAAAGATAAAAAAGGCGAAACAGTAATTACGTAAAATATACTATTTTATGCGTTACTTTACGTAAAAACAAAGATCATGGAACAAACTCTAGACATCGTGAAGCCATAATTAAACCCACTAAAACACGTAAAAACGTCTTGATGACGAATAATTATACAAAAACATATCCCAACTAGATTCATTTTCTTTAACAGTGATTTTTTAACACACCATCAGGCTATTTTCAGTTTACATCTGCACATAGTTCGAAAAAGTGCAAACTTAGAAAATTCAGATTTTGTTGTTGTGGTTTCCCGTCGTTCACATTGTATTTTTAACTGAAATACACATGAACAATTTTATACCGCGTTTTTTAACAGAAGAGTATTCGCTTCTGTGAACAACGATTTTCTAAACAAATTACGTATGGAAATAAATCAATAACTCCTGATGTTTTCAATATGACATAAAGAAAAAGTCGGCTCTTCAGCATTAAATACATTTATGATTACAATTTAAAAAAATATCAGACAGAAACAGGCAAAGTTATTGCTGTTAGACATATCATGTCCTTCCTTATCAGAGCTTCACTGATTCGTACAACAATATGATTATAATACTAGAAAACGGTGATTAAACTTAATTTCCTTGTTTCATATTGTTAAATTTTCTAAGACATAAGAACAATTAACGTAGATTTCGTCTTTTTTCTGATCTAACATATTTTAGTTCCATTAGATGTTCACAGAGAGAGAGCTAAAAAGCACCAAAAATTATGAAAATGCCTCCATGTTTTTGTTTGATGTCACGTATCTCTAATTGACAAATTAGTGTCGTATTTCGTGTTTCTACATCTCACGAAGAATGTGTTTTTTTTCTCCGCAACTGCCTGAATTTTTCAGCTCCTCGAATGATTCATTTTTTAAAATTGGCACTTAAAAGGCATATACGAGATATATGGAGATGAGTGAAAATGGGATTTAGCTTCTGACAGTGCAAACGTGAAAAGTCCGTAGATGTAAATCCTGAGAAACTCCGGTTACTTTTTTTAGGAGGCACGTTTTTCTCATTAAAACTTTTCAATAAAGACTCCCTGCATAATCGTATGGCCGTTATTTTTTATAATGCCATAACACGATGAATAAACAAAGTTCTATAGACTAACCGTTTACACACACACACACTTCCTTTTTTTTTGTAAATACACTAATATACCTTCTCACCACCAGGTAGCACTAACATAAACTAGAAGAACAGTAATGAGAACCACAAATGAGTTCAGAATTTGGGAAGCTGAGGAGGGCGGTGTCGTGAGTTCATGCGGCTTCTCTGTAACAGGAGGTGTGGATGAGCTGAAGTATATATCTCCGAAATTATGTTGATTTTCATCTGCAATAATCCAGCCGTTTCCACTACCGCTGCCGCTCCCACTGCCATCCCATTCACTGTCTGCTAATTTTAATAAAACAAATAAAAATAAGACTTATAGCTGAAAGCTATTCTGTTAAAACAAGAAGAGTTCGAATGAAAAATTTGTGTTAAGGATTCATGCAAGTCCTTTCTTCAGAACAGTACTATATATTAGTTTCAAATTATATATCATTCCTATATGTTTTGCAAATTTACAAGTTATGAATATTACAAACACTTTTACTGTAGATCAAATATAGTTTTAAGAAAGTACTTACAGATAAGTGACACTAATATTTTCATGTATTCCATGGAAATAAAAAGTACAACTCATTTCCAGTTTTAGTTTAACAAATTTCAGTGTTACTTGTAATTTTATTACGTTTCTAAGCCTTCCTACAGATGGCGCGTAAGGAAAACAATGTGATTCAATATTATTCACTATGTTCAGACCACTGTAAATTGTAACCAACTAGTTATAAACATCAGGAAATAAAATCATTTAGTTACCAGTGTCTTGCCACGCCACATCCAGGCCGTTATAGGCATCGTTCAATTTGCTATTGATGAGATGCAGCGTTAGGATTTGTTGACTAATAATAACATTCTGTGATGTAATGTCGAGCGATACTTCTGGGTTGTCCTTCTGACTACTGACGCCATTTCCTACTGGTGTAGCATCATACCTATAGGAGGAGTTAGCAAATTTAATTATACTCGCTTGTTACTCTGATAAAGTTTTCTAAGCTATTTTATTGCTGGTAATTACATATCAAACACGATCACTCCTCGGTTTTATTATTTTCACGATTGAAGTACTGCAGCAAATTACTGAAGTTAACACTGGTCCAAGAACATCCCTTTTCAATGACAGACTACTGAACCATGGCAGAATGTAAGGATAATACATTACAGAGACAGGTTACTGAACTATGTCAGAGTGTAAGGAATATATATTATAGAGACAGGTTACTGAACTATGTCAGAGTGTAAGGAATATATATTACAGAGACAGGTTACTGAACTATGTCAGAGTGTAAGGAATATATATTATAGAGACAGGTTACTGAACTATGTCAGAGTGTAAGGAATATACATTACAGACAGACTACTGAACTACGGCAGAGTGTAAGGAATATACATTACAGACAGACTACTGAACTATGACAGAATGTAACAATATACATTACAGACAGACTACTGAACTATGGCAGAATGTAAGAATAATACACTACAATGATAGATTACTGAACTATAGCAGAGTGTAAGAATAATACAGTTCAGTGACAAATTACTGTACTATAGTAGAGTGTAAGGATACTACAGTTCAGTGACAGATTACTGTACTATAGTAGAGTGTAAGGATACTACAGTTCAGTGACAGATTACTGAACTATGACAGAATGTAAGGATAATACAGTTCAGTGACAGATTACTGAACTATGACAGAGAGTAAGGATAATACATTACAGTGACAAACTACTGGACTATGACAGGCTCTAAGGATAATGCACTACAGTGACAGATTACTGAACTATGGCAATGTAAGGATAATACATTACAGAGACAGGTTACTGAACTATGTCAGAGTGTAAGGAATATATATTATAGAGACAGGTTACTGAACTATGGCAGAATGTAAGAATATACATTACAGACAGACTACTGAACTATGGCAGAATGTAAGAATATACATTACAGACAGACTACTGAACTATCCTGTGGAACATCATCATTCACTTTTCTGCAGTCTGCCACTGAATTGTATTATCTTTACATTGTCATAGTTCAGTAGTCTGTCTGTAATGTATGTTCTTACATTCTGCCATAGTTCAGTAGTCTGTCTGTAATGTATATTCTTACATTCTGCCCCAGCAACAACAAAAAATAAACTTTAATGGAAAGGTGATACATGGTACATGAGGCTAATGGCTCGAATTGAGGTCGAGACAAGGCACGTAATACCACCTTTATATCCCAGTTAGGTAACTGAAATGGCCTTTTGGGATGAAAGACTCGAAAAATTTGAGTAAGGACAATCCAGTTCACTCAATATTGGAGTTACGATTACTGGGATAACCGGTTATCGTGATATTTGAGGCCCTGAAAGATTAACAACTGTTCTAACTATTACTCGAAGCCATTGTTTCCTCTTTTATTTTATACCACTACACATATCGTCAGTCCATATTTCAGTGCAGTCAACTTTACTCGTTTGGCAGCAAATCGTGGATACGAACGCTTAGAACTCTACAAAATTCTTACAGCCACAAAGAAATACATGAAAATAGCATGCGCAAGGATTTACTTTCTGACCGATTCTAAACATACGAGGCGATAATCTTAGTATGTCAGCTTGTCTGAAAAATTTCATGTATTTTGTACTCGTATAGAGAACTGATTTAATAATATATTTACCTTTCAATGCACGAATGAATAATCAAAATTCAACACAAAAGAAAATATGGATTTAACTCATCTTGTGATATGTATCACTTATCCAACGTGGCATCGATAGTTCTAAGACTTTGGAGGCTTAAGTCAAACCAGTTAATCGGTTACGAATCAGTTCAAGCATGACGACTCGACTCACCGGTTAGAAAATTTTCAAACCGTGACACCCTTAGGTCAGTGACAGCCAAGTTAAAAACTGGCAAGTTGTAAAGTATTCTATTCAGTCCATGGAAGACAGTCGACAAAAGGATTACTTAAAGAAAAAATGGCGGCTAAAGATAAAGTTTGGGAAAAGTCACCTATTGTTTGCATGAAGATGATGATGATGTACAACACATTGATTCTAATCTTACCTATTTTGCAAGCAGCATAAATAATGTATCCTTTGGTAAGAGTAAGTGCAAGTGAAGAGTGTATTTATAAAACTGACTTGTCTTTTCTTAAACTTCAAACCTAAGCAATCAGTTGAATATGTTTTGATATGTATAGGATTCCTAAGTTCATTCAAATTGTATCACAACTAACAAAACGCAAACAGACGCGACTAAAATATTGTTTTATTTTTTTCCTTCTTGTCCACGACTTCTAAACCCATTTTTAACAGTAAAAACAAAACAAAAAACTTGTTACAATTTTTAAAGTAACTAAGCTTTCAGGAAAAAACAAGTATTTTTAAAGTTCATATCGTTCTTGAGGTTTCTGAGTAACTCTTACAGATTTTCCAAAAATTTGATACCTTGCTTTTGCTAGTCCATTCCAACAGCTGTCAGAGTTTTCTCGTACATTCCTGTCACCGGCCACTTCAGGGTTGTTACACAATTCACTCGCCAGCTGCGACCAGAAGTTCTTAGTTCTCTTCAGTTTTTTCTTTATGTCGTCAACTAGTCGCTCCAACCCGCTTTTGGTGGGCTGAAATGCCGCCAACTGGGCACCGAAGTTATATGTGTGGAACTCAATCTCTCCAGTAACATCTCTTTTCTGCAATCTTGGTTTTCCACAACTTTCAAATAGCTGTAAATAGAAAAGGATATATTATTTAAATAAGCTATAAATAAGGTATTAATAAACACACGTGTCGAGAAATAGTTCATTGAATTATGTAAAATAGCGATAGAAGTAAACAAGGAAGAACACATAATGATATGCCAACCACATTTATATCTGCAATATCCAGTTCCCTCGAAACCTTGCTTCCAATATCAGACATTGTAGTGGTCTAGGATCTAATTACATCATTAATTTCACGACCAATAGCAGCAAGCTCAAAATAATTTCCATCTGTCCATTGCTTTTCTAGTAAATTTATTCTAGGACGCAATGATGCTCTCTCTTATTCTATTTTTCACCATAAGAGAGCAAGTACCTGTAAAGTGTTTTTTGTTTGTATTTTGAATTTCGCGCACAGCTACTTCAGTGGCTATCTACTAAGTTTTCCATTCCTAATTTTTAAATTACTGAATAGCGGAAAAGCTGCTAGTCAGCACTCTTGGACTGCTCTTTATCAACGAATAGTGAGATTGACCCTCACATTATAAAGCCCCGAAAGATAAAAGGGCGAGCATGTTCGGCAATGGGTTTCGATCCCACAACAAATATATTGCGAATTAAGAGCTCTAACCATCAGATCATGCCAGATCCTGTGAGGTGTTAGATATTATGTTTGAGAAACAAATAATAGAAGTGCGTGTTAAAAAAGATGCAATAAAATTTTTGTATTTCGTATGTTTTCTTGCAAATCACGTATATATGTATAATAATAATATTTAAATCTTGAACAGTATGAAAAACTAGTGTAATGATGGATGTTCGGATTAAAAAGGGTTTGCATTAAATAATTTTCTTGTGTGGCTTTTTGTCTCTCGCTGGCTCAGCTTTATGGCTTAAAACGCTAAAACCTTGTTTCCGATCTCCACTGCGGACACAGTGCAGGTAACCGATTCTGTAGCTCTGCGTTGAAACAAACAAATAGACATATATATTTATTTTATAAACTGTTTTGTATGCAGTTTAGCCTTTGCGCACAACCTTATGATTTCTTATTTATTATGCAACAAAATTAAAACTTTGTCACTTTAGTGTTTTTATTTGCGGTTATTGTTACGTGAATCACCGTTTTTTGTTTTTGTTTGTTTAATGTTTTCTCTCGCGTGCTAGCTAAACTATTCCTCATAAAACCGCTAGGTTGATGTCTCACGGGTGTTTTAAAGACTGAAAGAACATTTTTTATTTATTTTTTGTCGAGAAAGTGTCGGCATTTACAAATATCTTTAAAATTGTTTTACTTTTATTAGATGCTCTTCTGATGCTAGCTCACCGCTTAGAGACTTCTTTCAACATTGAGGCCGTTATAGACCCGATCGAGATAAGAGTATCTGACGCCATAATGAATTTCCAGGAGAATGGTCATATCGTCTCACAGAAGGTATTTAAAAAAAAAAAAGAATAGCGAAAAAACATGCTGCAGCTTCAGGGAATTGTATTATTTATTTGGTTGTTATAAAATTTACTTGTTCGTTTGTAAGTTGTAGACTATTGTATCATCGAAAGATCTGTTTTTATTTAATGAAAATGGGCGGTTTTAACTAATGTAAAATAAAAATGACCTTCATTGGTGCATAATTACCGTAAGAAAAAATAACTGTGCCAATGAAGGTCGTTTGGTATAAGCATTGATCGAATAATTGTAAGCTTTGAGTGTCATTTCTCTATTACTTTGATGCATCATACCAAATGAGCTTAATGTTAAAAACATCACAAAGCTTTTTATGTATAAACAATTTGGTTGTTGCATTTTTAGGCATGGGTGTTAGTTTCAACCAAAACTAGAGGTCGCTTTTTAACGTTGCCATGTGCTTCTTAGTGTTTATAAGTTTATCCATTAAAAATAATGTTCCTTAATTTGCAGTGTATTATACTTAACTACACGTCCCAATGAATAAGTTATGCCTGATAATTTCAACATGTGATTTATTATATTACAGTGTCTGTAGCGTGTTTACTAAAAAAAATATAAGACATTTCCAATCAATTAGGCTAAGACCTTATGAGCGAAAACAATGAAAATTTTTGTTTGTTTGTTTTTTGTTAAGCACAACGCTACAGAATGAGCTATCTGTGCTGTGCCCACCACGGGTATCGAAACCCTGTTTTTGCGCTTTATAAGCCTTCAAAACGTGGTGTACTTATTGCCTTTCAACTACCGTATCGTTTGCTAGTTTGATTCTTTTCAGTTCATATCAGTATGGATGTTGATTAATTTAGGATTATCAGAGCTTTATCTTAGCCGTTAAAATTTTGATATGAATATATGTGTGTATCAGAAGTTTCTTAATTGTTGGAAAATTTCAGTGAGTGACTCAAGGATTCGATTCCCCTCGATGGACACAGCATACAGCCCGATGTGGCTTGTTTTTACGAAAACACACTCAGTGAGTGACTATTAGGGCTACCAGAGCTCCCGATGATACCGATGTAAATGCACGGTAAAGCTACCAAAATCATGCTTTAACCTCTATGATACTATATTGTAGTGAGTGAAAAGAATCGGTTTAAATGTAAAGTACGGCAATCTGAACATATCTCTTTATGATACCGATATGAGAAAATAATAATAAAGCTATAGCTCGACAGTTCTGATAGTTATATATATCCATGGTAAAGCTATCAGAGATCTGTCTGTATACTACTAAATCTATGAGATTGTTTGTTTGCTTGTCTGTAATTAAATACAGCAAAAACGGCATACAATAGTCCATATTTGTAGAATACGGTACACCTGAAATAAGAATAGAAACAGAATAAAACAAGTTTCGTTAAAATCGGGCCACGGGTTACCGAGTTAGCGCCGTTTTTCGGGTTACTTTTATGAAAATTTCTAGCATGAGTAATTTTACATCACACTATCGTTCGCGCTCTTTACGAAACTTTTTCGTTCAAATCTATTTCTCTGTCAATGTTCCTATCTTCATTAAAAGGTGTAAGATGACAAAAACAATATCTTGAAGAATTTGTCAATAATGTGCCTTGGTTATGGTAGGTAAGGAAATGAGAATTTTCTCAGTCAAAATATCATTCGCTGTGAGACAGTGAGAAATATTTTTCTTTTGGTGAATTTCGTACTGTATCAGTTATCAAGTTTTGCTGTTTCTTGCAGTAATTTGAGCAAGTAAGTGTGAAATGTTTTTCTGAAATGGCTTTTTTGGTTTTGATAGCAATTACATTCTAATAAAACATGAATAACATTACTATTATCTGTTATTTCTTATTTTCAGGCGTTTTGAATCAACCGTGAATAAGGTTTGTTTATCACAATACCTGAAAACTCTGACTTCACTATTTTGAAAATTGAAATGGTCTTTCCTTTTACTTCCGATCAGCAATCAAATATTTTTTCTTAAATTATGAAAAACACGAATGGATTGAAATATTTAATTAAATAATATCAAAATAAACCTTCATTTCGGTGCAATATTGAAATTAGCTTGAATTCTTCATAACCTCTGAATAGTGGGTGGCCCAACGGGTCATCTAGTATTCCTTAAGATTCTAGTGTGAGGGTATAACACATTACTCACTAGTTGTTCATAAACACTACACATGCCATTTATTTTAACTTAACCGAAATGATTTCTTCAGGAAAACTTATATAATGATGTACCATTCCGAGCATTTTAAATACAATTAACAACAATGTGCCGTTCCTTACATTTCTAATAAAGTTAATTACGGTACCTCATTCCAGATATTTCTAATACAATTAATAACAATACGTTATTCCCAACATTTCTAATACAATTTATAACGATATGTCATTCCGGGCATTTTTAATCCAACTAATGATCATGTACAATTCCGGACATTTACAATATAATTAACATTTAATCTTGGCAAATTGGATCAAATAAATAAATATTAGTCGCTTCTTTGGTTTAAAGACCGTTTGGGATCACTTAAGAATCTTGCATGAAAAATATTAAAAAAAAAAATGCATTTTCCTGGTAAGTAAGAACAAGGCATCGATTTTCACTTGTTCAAGAAAATTGAATATTACTTAATAAGGCGTGACACGAAGTTTTCTACCACTACTATGCAACATGGGTTACTCTGTGCGACCTGATTTTACGGAATGTTTCCATGCTGTAAACAACCTTGATACCTATCGTGTTTCGTATATCAAGGTATATTGGAACTTAATTATCTTTTCAAACTGGTTCTTGTATACAGACGGGGAATAAAATGTTGTTAAGAACACGGGACAGAAGCATTTTAAAAGTTACTTGATATCAACAACTTTTGGGAACTGGGTCGTCAGTAACGAACTACTGAACCACCCACTTTTCACAATACATCATTTGAAAGTCTTAACTGATACGCACATACAAAATTTAATCTAACGATCTAACCAAATTATTTTCTATTTATATTTTCATTTATAAAATCACGAACATTTTATAGTTTTCCTTTATAGGTTACTTTAACACACAGAGTTGAAATTAAATCGAGATCCTAAACGCATTTAATATTGAAATATTTCTGCTATTTCTCGAAAAGACTGGAACCAAACAAGAGAGAAGAAAAAAGCTATTGTTTCCGCAGATATGTTTCTTTATTTTTGCAAGTTTTACGATTTACCAAACGAGAAAGACTTTTTTTCCCCTTTTAATAACCAATTTCTCAATGTCAAGCGGATTTTAACCCCCACATACCCCAAGATGTAAAGCACTGTGCGTGTGACGTTTCACTTCGTCACGCCTCCTTTCTTTTCATCAGAGAAAACTAAACGACCAGGAATGCGAACTCGGTAAGATCAAAGGCTCATCAAAAAAAAAAAACGGTTCAGCGTGTAGAGTTACACCCAGACCACTTTGCATAACTAGTTTTTCTGCTTCGATAAGAGGTTCATATAAATTTCTCTGGTCATTCTTGTCATGATTCATTGAATTGAAGTAGGTTATTTCTCGGCGCCAACGTTTGATAAAGCCAATTTCCAACTTAGATAAAAGTGCTTTGCACGGCGTGACCAGTTACACAGAATTAAAAAAAAATTAAACATGAAAATCGAACTCGAACGATTCTGTGTATTACCCGTAGACACCAAAAACGTAGTACTTAATCTCTAACTAATATGTAACTCCACATTCAGCCTTTACTAATTGATTTAAAATATGAAGAAATCCACTTAAACATTGTTCGATAATTGACTGGTTCTGGATGATCATCCACAATGAATAAACACGAATTTTTGAACAATAATAAAAACGTTAAAAAACCTTCTATGCAAGACAATGCAACAACAAAATGAAATAAAATTATATACTCATGGGCTAGTTTAATATTATAATGTTGCAATAACATTGAACAAGCTTTGCAGGTCAAATGTATGTATGTGCACAAACATTTATCTGTTTCTATCACACACGTACATATAAAGTAGCCATGTTTCCTTCTGATGTAAGAAATGCGGAGTAAACAGAAACACCTGTTTATAAAACATTTACACAACGACTTCTCCCTAGGTGTTGAATCTTCTTAATTTTATATCATCATTATGTCTTCAGCAAATATTGGTTGCAAACTCAATGTCTATAATATAAAATTACATATAAATGTCTGTAGTATTGTCCTGTTGAAGGCGACATTTAATTCCGTTGAATTCATGACTAATTTCTCATATGACACAAATGAAAATTTCCATTAATTTATATAGCTTCAGACTGTTCAAATGGATTCGCATGACTTGTTAACTTACCGATGTAGCTATTCCATTCACTGTTCAGATCGGCGTGGTAAGCCAAGCAGCCCTTCATTACATTGAGACAATAGTTTCCACAGGGCTTCAAGTCAGGTAAACCATGGCAATGTGGGCAGTATGACATCTTCATAAGAGCTCTACTGCATTCTTGGCTGGGTCTCACCTGCTCAAGACAATATTCATTATTAAACTTAGATGACAAGATCCAAAATCTTAAAATACGCTGACGTAATATTATTTACGTTTCATTTTTAGTGATTCGCCGTATAAAATAGAATGATGAAGTATTAAGATCTGTGTTGCTACAAACCTCTAGAACGTCTCTTACAATATCTCGACCAACGGAGAGGGCTTGAACAAAGGTACGAGTGGCTACAAACGATCTTTTAATTTCGGTAGTTAACTTCCTTGGTACATCACCAAAAGGTTTCAGGTTGTCCATTTGATCTTCAACACATTTTAAATAATAGTCATCAAATGTGTACTGGGCGTTGAGGACCTAAAAGTTGTACAGAGTAAAAACCATATTGGACTCATTATTTCAGTTAGTCCTATGAAATAATGAAATGAAAAAACTAATGGTTTTCGTTTACCCAGATGTAAGTTATAATGTTTTGCTTTGAATGAAAGGGATGATGTCCATGCACATCTACAAATATGCAAGGATTTAAACAGATTGAGTACAGGGAATACAACTAGTAAATAGTACCCACTTCTATCTATTGGGCTACTCTTGTCCAATTGAATAGTGAGATTTAATCTTCACTCTTATAGTGCACCGAAGGCTCTAAATTGCGGAGCGCGTTTTAACTGCAACGGGTCGCTAACCACTGGCCCCTCGCCTGGCCCAAAATGCAAGCAAAAAGTGAAAATACATCGTTAAGTAAATCTTATGAACTCGACTGATGAATAATCTTAATGAATTAACTTGTCTGAAACGATCTGTACACAATTTCACAAAAACTGGATTTACACAAATTTAACTCTTTCGAGATTTTCTGTTTCGTTTTACCTTCTGCTAAATACATAAGAAACTATTTTCAAGTAGTGTGAATTTATTTCATTAATCTTGGATTGAACTTGAAGAACGGGGCGAAATAAATCACATGTTAAAGGTAAAATATATTTTTACTATTTTAGCGAAAACTAGAGTTAAACTATTTCGTTAAATTCACTGTTTAATAACTTATTTATTAACTTTCTCAAAGCGTTTGAATACATTGCAAGAGCTAGTTTTCATGAATGAGTTCCTATTATCTCTTACCTGGAACATTTTCAAATAGAGTCGGCTAAAAAATCCGTCCAGAGCTTCTGTCAAATCCACTCCACCAGAGAGATAATATTTTCTAAGCTCATCAAACATGCTTTTAAAAATGAAAGCATTTTGTTCATACAACACACCGTACGTTCGAGAGAACATGTCATGGAAGTCTTTTTGAGATTTATCTAAAAGTTCCTGAAAGAATTCTGGAAGACAGAAAATGTAGTATGACATAAAATTGCGTATGTTAAAAACTGAAATATCATTGTAAATGCCGTTAATTCTTCTTTTGGTATCAAAAACGGTTATGGTAGTTAATGAAGACTTTAAATGTGATAACTATTCTTACATGGAATTCCGAATATTCTAATTTTACTAGCAAAGTAAGTAAATAATAACGTACTGTCAAACTGCTGCGTTTTTGAATGAAACACATTTTTTAGTCCAGTGATCGACTCTTTTAGGAGTCTTGCAAACTCCGCTTGACTGTGATTGCTCAGTTTGTATTCCATTTGTTCTGTGCAACAGGTCATATCCTGCTCGCAGATGCGGAGGTGATCCCCTGGTGATAGAAACAATACAACAACAAATTTTATTATAGCACTTGATAGAAAATGTAGCAATTTGTAGAATGTACTCAAATGTCTCTTTAATCAGAAGTAGTGAAAGAATCGCAGAAGCTCTATTTATAAAGAGCACGAAATAGATAGAAATCAGTCATTACGTTAATAAGGTGTTGTGTTCCAGTAGTTCATCTCTATGTATTTACTATAAGAACACAAATACATTTATCCTTTAAAAATACATAAACACGTTTTGTGATAGAACATACTAACACTTTGCTTTTTTTTGCAAAAATGACACACCAGTTTGAACACCAAATTATTTATCATCTCCTATGGAATATATTGTTGAAGATCATGCATGTTTATGCCAACAAAAGCATAAACCAATAACTTTCAATATACTATCACTTGACAGGAGTCGCTCAACAATATATAAATGAATTGGAAATTTTCAATCTGAAAAGCTCCTTATGGGTTGAAATCCCAGTAATTCAGGAATAGCTGTCCCTTACTTTTAACTACTTACCAAATAGAAAGAAGCCAGCTAGCAGCACCCACTGCTACAACCGAAATGACGAGATTGATTCTCACTTTTATAACGCGGGAACTGCTGAAAAAGCGAAGCGGCTTCATGTCCCGAACCCCGGACCCATCGTTCACCAGCTTGACACATTAACTAGGCCTTGCCCGACCCCAGATATAAGATCGAACCTCGGAACCATCGTTTCATAGCTTGACGCGTTAATTGGGCTTTGCCCGACCCCATATATATTACCGAACCTCGGACCCATCGTTTCACAGATTGACACACTAATTAGGCCTTACCCGACTCCAGATATATGACCCAACCTCGGATACATCGTTCCACGGCTTGACAGATTAACTAGGCTTTGCCCGACCACAGATATATGAGCAGCCCATTTTAATTAACTAAACTCAGGCCGTCTCTATCATTCCAAAGCCCCAGAAACATTCAACCTCAAAAACAGTAACTTGATGACTAAAAGTCAGAGAATTTACTAGACGAGACTACTTATAACAAAGTGATAGGATGCATCTTTTCTTTATTAGAAATATCTGAATACACTTTTTTACTGACAACATCGACCGACGAATGAGGGGATGTTTTAGACCAGTCTGGATTTCCAGAAAAGAAAGATCAAGGAACATTTGAGTTTAAAAGTTGGTAAAGTTGCCAAAGAAAAAAAAAAGCTGCCGAATAGCGATTTCGTGCAGTTCTTTTTATGCAGTTGACTGCTATATCACAGTAAAATTCTTGAATAGGGAGTGTAGCAATAATGTTACGTTTACAAGAATACGGTATGTACCCTACAGATAGATACCAAACTGATATAAATATTCTACTTTAGATCATACATAAGTGTATCTGGCATAAACAGAAATCCTGACGATGACAAAACAGTTTGATTTTATGAGAGGTAGTCATACAATGTTAATACGTTTTAATTTGGTTTCTGGAATACCTTATCAGCACAAATGACGTAACCAAACTAAAAACATACTTGTAGAATGGACGTAACAAAAGTTTATTAGTATCTACAGATACTCGTAGGTTTATCCCCGCTTGTAAATTTGAATAGTTGTAAGTACGTTTTGATGTTTCTTTTATATAGGCAGCCTTGATATACACCTTTTTTTTTCAGGATTTCAGTAAGACATAAATTCCAATTGCAATACCAAATCGTTCAAATGTGTTTTTACAAAATATGGCTACTTCTATCTTTGATTTAAACATTGATATTATTAGTTGCGTATATATTTCTAATGCAATAAAACGGATTCAATGAAATAAATTTTACTTTTAGTATATTCAGTGGTTGAGTACGTTCAAATAAATCGGTTCTGGGGCCTTATCACGTCCTTAGAGTACGTGTTCCCATGTCCGGTTTATCTGACAACCGTGTATCTTGGCAATAGCTTCGTACTTTCCATTGCAAAACACTCCGTTGTGATGCTGTCATGTCTAAAGCATATCATTCCTTCCTGCTAATTTTCATTAACCCAGCTAGTGTACGAGGACCACAATTTCCCACTGATCCTTCCAACAGTCCGGTGCCACAGAAATCCACAGTCAACTTGACTAATATGTCTTTGTATGGGATGGCATGAATGCCTATTTCATTCTACAGCTGCTTGAGGTATGCAAAGGTTGAACGTCGTAAAAACAACTTGAACATACAAACGTAGATCCATCTCGATTATAATGCGTTCTGTTGCCTGAGACAGATGGACAGCTTGACCCTCTGACCTTTGTATTCGTGAATTAGATCTGTTACAATACTTTTCTTACTAAGGCTATGGTATAGACTTCTTGCAGATATTTTTCTGAAAGGTCTTACTACCCCAAGATTATCCATATTATTTTACTTTCCAATGCCATTAAGTACAAAGTATGGTAATGGGTTATAGGAGGCTTCTAATAGAAATAGTTGCAGGTAAAAAATCATTAGTAATCCTTTAAAATTTTTATTGCGTCATTTGTTGCATAGTATTTTTGCATTTGGTGATTGTTATGATATGTTTATTTGCTTTCTGTTACATTCATATAACGATGGATCCAATATGCACAATTCACAGAAGATCATTTCTCATGTGAGTAATTTTATATTTTTATTCGATACAACTTTCACTTCAAAGAACTGACCAAAAACACAGGATGAATACGTAAATACATAGGAAACCCGTAATGCTAGTTAGGTGAATTAGTCAGTTAAGTGTACAAACTAGCAAAAACTGGTAGTTTCAAGGAAGTGGTCAATGCTTTAAAATGGGTAGCCATTTGACATTGCGAAAGCGCTATTGAATGAAATAGAACGGTTAAAAATCGTTATTAAATATTAGAAAGAACTGTGTTTATAAAATTCACAAGTTTTTTATCGGTCGTACATAGTAAAACGTTTGTTTATTTTATTCTCAAAGTTTCACCACAACGTTTCTGTTAGCCACAGTTCTCGTATCCCAACCGATGATGCCAGGTAAACCTGTTGAAACGTTGAGAATAAAATAAACAAAAGTTTTACAATGTACAACCGATAAAAACTTGTATGAAGTTAAAAATATTGTCCTTTTTTTATTAATCATCCCTTCGGCGGAATTAAGAAATGTTTATATATATATATTGTTGTTTAATAGTGGCACAGCAGTATATCTGCGGACTTAAACGCTAGAATCCGGGTTTCGATACCCGTGGTAGGCAGAGCACAGATAGCCCATTGTGTAGCTTTGTGCTTAATTACAAACAAACAAACAATCAAAAGCAAATCTGTGTATATGGTTGAATGCACTTTTTGTGCACCTTCTGCCCGTTCTTCTGGCTTTATAATATACCTTTCTTCTAGGATGAGAAGTCTAGACGGAATATGTATATGAAACACCCTCAACTTGTGGTCGCTTGCTGGTTCACCAGTTCGTCTGAATGATGAATAGGTTAATTCAAGTAAAATAAATAAATGAATACACAAACAGCTTGGTGTTAAAATAAATAAATAATATAGCATTAAAAATCCTTACTCTAATTGTGATATGTAGTAACATAAATAAAATTTATAAGAATTACATTCCATCAGCTTAATGAAGTTCACACGGTAACAGCTATGTTTACGTAATTTGATAATATAAATAGCACCACAACTACTACTCCGCGTGTCATATCTCAGTAGGCCTGATGAACCCTGGGATTGGACGAAGTCTCGTCGGCACTGGATATAGTACATATAGTGTGATATATATATATAACCTCCTCTTTACCTTAACTCAGTTCTTGTCCTAAACCAACAATGACAGTTAATTACTTCTGTCATTCCGTGAAGATCAGATTCTTAGAAAGCTGACAAAGTGTGATCTTTGAAGCATGCTTATACAAACATTAACACCTACTGCTCAACTAAGCCAAAACTGCTTGCGCGTTGTCATTCACATTCGTTGATAGTCACTTCCGAAAGGTACTATTTTAACTGTAAATACAATAAATATTTAATTTTTCGTAGTTCATTTGCGATTACTTTAACGCAAATTGCACAGTTTCTTGTTTGAAATAAGGGAGGCGATTATTTAGATACCACAAATTTACGTGCATTAGGCGTGTTTTTTATATCAGTTACGAGATTTGAAGTCGGTGGGATCATACAGATGACTGAAAATTCCTAAATGTTTACCGGTTCATCCTCCTACAACGCTCCCTCTTTGTCTACACGAAAAAAGTGTGTGTGGCAACTGCTCAAGGTGGCCTTCCCCAGTCTATTCAGCGGTGACTATGTGATCTTTAAAGCTTTCCATAAATTGAGGTAACAAGCTCGGCGAGAATAATAAACGCGAGGAATTCAAAGGTGCTTGTTCGCTGTTCCTGACAGCCAGCCATTAATCACTTGGCTATAAACTTAACAGCCAGCTGCTGTCGTTGAATAGGTCCTTCCCTACGTCACTCAACTTACAACAATAAATATACATAATTGGACACGAGTTCGGACACATCTACACTGCCTAAACGTCATGACAAAACAAAAGTAAAGGAAGTTGGGTGGTTAGCAGCTCCAGCTCATTTTTCTATCCAGTCAGGAAAATAATTTAAACTGGGTTTCCGTACTGACAGTAAGTTTACAGTTTTATAAAATAATGTTTTTATTAATTATAAACGGAATTTACCAAGTACAGTTTACAGCAGTATCTTAGGAGTATATTTGGTATTAGTTTGATAAAATATTATAGCATTAATGTATTCTATATTGATTTGTCTAAGTACAAAAGCTACAGAGATTTCGCTGTTACAAAATCCTTTATTTTCAAATTCTTAAAGCTGACAGTCTGAGATTTAAATGTACACAACTAACTCCTTGAAACTTTGACTTCTAACACCGTTCATGTCACTCATATGGCTTGAAGATGAACTCTACAAGACAATAAAATCTCTGCTCCGTAACTATCAGTGAGATAATCAAGAGATGAATATACCTTTTGAAAGAGAACATTATTTATTCAT